GACAAATTCATCTTGGGATAACATTGGCTATGTCGATAATATCGTATTCCTCGAGAGATATCAAAATTACCCTTATCCAAATTGAAAAACTATCAAGTTATTTGAATTTTAAAGAATAAGGATGAGAGATCGAAAATACCGAAAAACCAAACAGATGTACTTACATATACTTCATCATTAAATTTACTTACATATAGGTGGGATGGCAGTCAAGTGCTGGCCAGTTCGAAATAAAAAAAGATTATATTATATAGATAATAAATTTTAACTTGTCCACAGGATTTGGTTCTCACCTATTCCTGGCGGTGGGTCGTTCTGAGTGGCCTTGAGCCTATTCTGAATGCGTGCATTGTGGGTTCTGGGGGCAAGTTGAGGGTGGCAAAGGTGGAGCCGCTCTTCCGGTCCTGAACCACGACGCCTGTCATATCATTCCAGTCCTTGACAATATGAGAAATGTAACAAGGCTATATTAGTTACTCTTAATATTTAAATTGCATATTCTCGTATAATTATAAAACAAAAAGTTTAATTAAAATAACAGCCTATAAATGTCCCACTGCTGGGTAAAAGGGCCTCCTCTGTACAGAGGGTATCAGGGCATAGTCTACCACGCGGCCCACTGCGGATTGGCGGACTTCACATAATTTCGATATATTTTTTTTGTTATTATTTCCATGCAGGTTTCCTCACGGTGTTTTTCCTTTACTGCTGACTGAGCACGTGATAAGTCAGCACTTAAAGCTAACAATTTCTTGGTGCTGGCACCGTTGATCGAACTCAGGTTGCTCGAGTAAATTGAATTAAAGGCGAGCGCCCGGACGCTGAGCTATCACAGATTAGTGTCCGGGTTAAGTTTAATTGTTAGTAGCAAATTAAGTTTCCGGAAAGATGAATTACGCTGTGATAAATGGTAAAAAGTATTCAGTGCGTTAAGTTAAAAAATTGTTTGAGAGCGTTGTCCAACGCACTCAAACAAAAATTATTACATACATATTTTTTTATGTGAGAAGGTAGCAAACGAGCTGACGGTTCACCTGATGTTAAGTGATGACCGCCGCGCACTGACATTTGCAACACCCGTAGAGAGTTGCAGATGCGCTGCTACCTTTAATTAAATGGTCCTCAGCTACCTCACTCACCAGACGAAACGCAGAAGTATAACGCTTTCACTTCACTCCGGTTTTTCTGTGCGGCCGTGGCACTTACCCGAAGGGACCTGCCTATTCGTGCAACAGCGAAGACTATTGCGTGGCCCCACCACAGTTCATGTCAGTCGTTCGTGTAAGTCTCATATTTATTGTGGCTTTTTAATGAAATTAACTTATTTTATTTTACAACGTAATCATGTAAAATGAAATTTGGTAACAAAAAGTCGCCAGCTGATGAGTGAGATAATGCCATAAATTATTGCGATCCATTCGAATTGAGCTACGTGAGAAAAATACGTCGGCGTCTTGCGATGTGACTTGATTCTTTATTGTTTTGCCTTTTTTCTTTATTCTTTGAGCGTCTCTAAATTGGAATGAATGTAAATTTTTTTAATTTTTTTTTTAAATTTATACTCATTCGAGATCTCGTCGTTTTCAGACGTCAAGCTGTATGTAACTTGGAAAAATGTTATACAAAAACATATTATATTAATTATATTTTATTATATTTCTTACATATTATTATATTTTTTCCCATTTATAGGCGAGTAAAGCACAGCTAACCTTTTCCTTTAAATTAATAACATTTATGGTCCCTATAATAAAAGTGAAATATTTCTAAGACATGTGAACTCTACCGAATCGGCAGAGGCTTGTGGTGCACTATGCCCTTAGTTCAGAGTTTTTACGGTGGTAGGGCCACGCAACAGTGTTGCTTGAATGGGCAGGTCCACCCGGGTAAGTACCACGACCTCACAGAAGACCGGCGTAAAGTAGAAGCATTATTACACTCCTGCGTTTCGTCTGGTGAGTGAGGTAGCCACTTTGTTTAAAGATACTATGGGCGTTGGAAATGTCCATGGGCGGCGGTTATCCCTTAACATCAGGTGAACCGCCAGCTCGTTTGGCCCTCTCACATAAATAAAAAAAGCAGCGGCGTGTACACAGATATTTCAGACAGGGTGTGCACTAAAAACTTATCAACTTTCCTTAGGGGTTGATGATAATCAGCCTTGTAGTCTCGGGCTTATAGAATAGGGCTAAGGTATCCCCTGCCTATCGTAAAAGGCGACTAAAAGGGGCCACGGATGGCAGCAGCTCGAAGTGGTCTCGAGTTGCTGCAAGATGGTGAGTGAATCTTAGAAGGTCTATCCTTCTCCGAGACGTCTGGTGAGTGAGGTAGCCGGAGCCCAATTTTCAAAATAAGGAGATAGGGAGATAAATAAGGAGATAAGTGCTAAGTGATCTTTGAAAGTGATGTGAGATTAACACCCAGTTTCCGAAAGCGCAATCAATTTTAATTTACGATAAATCTCTTGTCAAACGTTGTTTAACATGATCTGAGTTGTTAGAACGTCTGAAAACAACATTGATTTTGATTTGCAATTAGTCACTGATTAACGGACAATCAACAGAAAATCGAGTTTCTGAAAGCGTTTTTCGGTGGTCAAGGAGCTGTCAAAAGTTTTATTAAGTAATGTGTCAATTTGGACGATCAATCGTTGGTTAAAAATGTATTTTATCAAAAATCTTAGTTTTTATTAGAAATAAACATAATTCCCTAATACGTTATAAGGAAATTCATGTGTTCTATTACCTATTTATTATTATGCGAACATATCATGCGATTAGAAAAAATAGAAAATGCAAGTCAAAATTTAATAAATAATATGGATTCTTTCTTTTTATAATACTTACTTGTTTATTATGGATAAAAGTTCATTTTTTTCACGTTCTGCAATGATTTTTCTTGACATTTTGCATGTATTTATATAAATTAAATTTTATTATAGCTCGGATTTTTACGTTGGCAATCACACGGTGACAGGACTGGATAGTGACGTTAATTTAAGTTTTGTTTAAAAAGGGACAGCTATACAATAGAAAGTGTTAGTTGAGGTAAATAATTCATTTCATTCATTATCGTTGGTTATACAGTGATTAGCTAATTTTCCTTGAACAAACCTTCCAGAAACCCAAGGCAGTTTAACAAGAGATTAACAGCTGATCATTTTTGACATAGTGTTATGTGATTGCTGCTTTGATTGGCCTTTCGGAAACTGGGCATAAGTTTGTTTTCTTTGACTTTTCATGGTATAAAGGGATAAACGACCAGGTTGCTACCCTCACAACGCCGCCCATGATCACAGCCTTTTAGGTAAATACAAACTCGACAATAAATGATAACTTTACTATTTCTTCTTTTACTTTTGGCTTCAGTTTTTTGGGGCATCTTTGTATGGGGCGAAAGCTGTTTTAAATGTATGGAGTGCACGCGCAAATACAGAGAAAAGGCCCTTGCTTAGCAGTGGGACTTGTATAGGCTGTTAATTTACTGTATTTTTTTTAGTAAGAAAGCATATTATTTGGAGTCCCTTATCTTTTGTTCTATGGACACAGTATAAAAAAGTATGATTTTAAAAAAAGATCAATTCCGTCTTATTATTCTTTTATTTATCTTCTCCACCATAAATTATTCTTATAACTATGATCAAAGTTAAAAACATTTTAATATTTGTAATACTATCTCACTAACTACGTGCATTATTATTACAGTATGATATTAACATCTAAATTAATTTATAATGTGTATGATAAGATTTAATACATTCATGGAAATAATGATCTTGTGCTAACCTTACTGATAATAAGATATTAATTTCTCAACTAAAGCTATATTTTCAAAGATTTTATCTGTACTTGCCGATTCTACTGAAGTAGCAAAAGACATTTTTTTTAAAGGAAATAGTTTCTTTGTCCATTTTCTTGCTTTTTACAAAACAGCCTATACTATTATAAAATTCGGGTTAAATTGTTGCCGATTTACAATTCATTATATTTTTGTCTGTAATTGTGTTAAACAGTTTTTTACACGGAATGTTATTGAATGTAGGGTTTGAAAATAATTGTTCAAACTCTACATATCGTTTTCGTTTGCCTTTGCTTATTCTCGTTTTTTTTTTTTTAATTTTATCCGAAATATCTATGTTACTTTAATTTAAAATTGATCAGAATTCCTTATGACTTCGAAATAAATGATTTTTATTTCATTTTATGTATGAAACCGGATGTTTACTAATATTTCTATTTACTAATTGGTACATCTATGCAATTGATGTAAATTTTTTGTTGATATAAGATTTTTACTATTTTAGTTTGACACTAGGATGATAACTTATAATTTCACATTATACTCAATTGTATATAATTTTTTTTGTATAGTCTAACTAAGTATTTTTTGATCGAGTTTGCTACTTATGTAAAATCGAAAATTCGCTATTGTAGTCAAAAAGATCAATAAAACAAACTTATTTTATTTTTTAAACTGAGGTATACCTAAATTTGTTTTTATAGCTCTAAAAACAGCTGTAATTTTTTAACTTTAATTTTCTTAATTTAGTTTTCTTTTTTGTTAAACTAATGTTGGTTCCAAATGCAATATTTACTTCGATATACAGAATTTTTGTGCATGCTTTTACCATGGGGCAAGTAACAATAGAAATAGTACCAGTTAAAAGATAACTATGACAAATGATTTGAGTAAATCTTTTAAGTCAAACCTTAGTGCATTGAGTTATCATCTTACGTAATTAAAACAATGAGACATTCCAAATTTTCCATGACAAAAATTATAACAACAAATATATCATTTGCAAACACGATTCGGTTGTTATTAAATCTAGACGCATTTACATTCTCTCTTTGGTTTAAATTTCCGTTGTTGTGCTGGTCATCAATATCGTTTATATCACCAACGTTAACGGACCGTTTCCTACGATTTACGCTTATCCTACCATTTGATACTGATTGTACTACAGACCAAAACTTAGGTCCGCGTAATGTGCCGGATCAGAGTCTTTTATGCGAACCAGTGGTCGAGCTTTTTAAGGAACCAAATCGCCTTGTGTGTGGAAGATCCTGTGTCCTCTCCCGGTCCAGACTCGCTGCTCGTAGAATTAATCCTCTTGATGGATGGCCGAAGTCCCGTGTGCTCTGATTATAACAAAACAATAATTAAGAATAGATAAAATAAACAGATTATAATATGACCTATATATAATATAACCGTATGAGTTCAATTGTATTTTTTTTACTAATTGTACAACAAAATACAAAAGTTAGACGCCTTGTTACCTGTTCTCCTAAAGATCCAACACGCAATTGTCTGGGCTGCCTTATTGAATGACTACTCCTCTCAGTGAATGTCGTCTCTAATGACCTCTGAGATGCTTCGCTGATTGAATGTGAGAGTAGATGAGTTGTAGATGAGGAATTTGAATCTTCGATGTTCGAAAATTCTTCAGGACTGTCTTCTCTCTGCGGTGTGTCGGATTCCTGTTGTTAATCAAATAATAAATGTTAAATGCATTTTGATGATATACTGGTTTGATTGAGCAAAGTTATAAAACATGCCGGTTCTAATTAGAGATTTATATTTATTATTTATGGTACGTTTATTATGTATACGAGAAATTCTTGCCTCTTCTAAGTCCCTTAGCGTAGTGGGGTAGTGATGCCTTCTCGATTCTTCTTTTTCTTTTTCACGTTCCCTTTTTTCCAACTCATTGGCTAGCATCATAACTTCCCAGTCACTCCCACTTCCTGAAAGAATCAATTCATAAGTATTACAAGTATCTTGCATTAAATTAATTTAAGTTACGTAATTTTATTATTTAAGGTAAGTTTGTAAGTCGTATTTCGGAAGTCGCAGTTCCAACCGTTATTCATTATAACGAATAATTGTTTAAGGTTCATTCAGCCAGTTTTATGTATAAGCAAATTTTTGCCCACAGAATATTAGTATAAGTAGACATATAAGTATTATAAGCGTAGACAATGTTATATTTTACGTATTTGTAACATATAAAAAAAAAGAAAAAAAAGTAAAGTAACAGCTTATACATGTTCCACTGCTGGGCAAAAGCCTCCTCTGTACAGAGGGTATCACGGCATAGTCCACCATGCGGCCCCACTGCGGATTGGAGGCCTTCACATATCTTCGAAATATATATATTTTTTGTTATTATTTCGAAAATGTGGAGGTTTCCTCACGATGTTTTCCTTCACCGCGGAGCACGTGATAAGTCAGCACTTAAAGTTAAAAACTTCATTGGTGTGGGCACCGGGTATCGAACTCAGGTTGCTCGAGTATATTGAATTAAAGGCGAGCGCCCGGACACTGAGCTATCACGGCTCATAAATGTAACATATATTGCATATAATCTTTAGCTTTTTGTACTATCTCTATATAAATATTGACCATGCAAAATCTCACACTCCTCTATACGAGGGGTAATATCCACGGAAACATTCGTCACTAAGATTTATCGATTAATTTAGTTTGCCAATACCTCGGATGGGTGAAGTGCTTCCATGGCTGGAGCTACCGAGTCGAACTCGACGGAAAGTATTTCCAACAAACTCCTCAAATACCGGTGTCCTTGGTATCGATTCAGAATCGCTACTGGATGATGTCGATGTCCTAAAAAATTTTACAATTCTTTGATGGAATATGTATATTGTTATTCTTGTAAAAAAAATGATGTTAGGTATTTGGTCTGAGATGCGAAATATAATCAGGAAGATCAATGGATGTACACAGTGTCGTTACAACCGCGACAATAAATGAACACACGTCTAACGCTACTTGCCAATATCATAAAAAAATATAAAACGTTAAAAAAATCCATAATTAAAAAAATATATTTTATAAACGAACTAATTAAATAAAAAAGAAACAAAATGTCCATCATCCTATACAACTACAACTGACTGATTCATACATTCCGAGACTTTTTCATTCGTTGCCACAACGTCGCATCACAAGTCTCTCCTTATAACAGTATGTTTTATTAACTTCATTCAACCCATTCATATGCTTTGTGACATTTACAAATGAAATTTACGTTACAGTTTTATACATAACGGTGTTCTAAAAACGTTTGTTTTGTAAAATTTAATAACTCAGTAAATATTGATGTTTAAAGAATGTAAATGTGTAATACAATTTTAAAAAGTTATCCTCTATAATTGTGTTCATTTATTGTCGCGGTTGTAACGACACGCTGTATAAAAATTAGACCGTGATACATAATCTTAATATTAACCTGTCATTATATAATAATTGAATAAAATAGGATATAATTAAGAATATAATTTAAGAATTGCAAATTGTCAGACGTCATAAAATATGAAATAGAAATTATTCTGTGTGAACGATTAAAAATTGTTAATCAGTAGATTGAAATACATTTTGTATGATATCATTTTTCTGCAACATCAGCCCATCAACCCTATTTTTTATATGGAGGAGAAGCGAAAAAATCTATATGTGTTGAAAATTTAAATGAAACACTTACGTGTCACTCCAACTGCAGTCGCTTCCAATGTCAAGTACTACTTCGTTGCAGTTATTCGTTTGCTTTGATTGAGTCCCTCGGTTGTAGCCAAAGAACGAACCTAAGCTGAATTTACGATGATGACGCTGTTGACCGCGTTCTATTCAGTATAAATTTTTTGATGATTACAAAGAAAAATATTAAATAGATTGAGTAGTAACCAATTTAGAAATAGGATTCTCTCTGTCAATTCCTTTTATTTCTATCGAAATATTAAACATTTTTTTTTTCGCACTTAGATAGTTATTGGCATATTATATTGATATAAGGTAATGTAAGTTGAATAACATTTCAGAACTTGGTCGTGCCTATTTAATTTGTTCCGGATCTGGGTGTTTATTACAGACCATAAGGCATGTGACTGATAGTAAAAAAACTAGCCAATACTATTAACAACATATATGTTTTCTATCCGGGTGGAATAACGGAAGCAGAAAGACAGAGGCAATGTTTGTGCACTCGCATTAAAAATAATATTAAATTAATATAGCAAAGTAGTACTTACTTTTATCTTTTCTACCAGTCTGATGCATTCCCGTATCAACGGATAGGGTTTTTTTAATTTTAGATTTGGTGTTATCCAAGTGAGTACCAAAGAAATGAAATGGATGTATTCCTCGCCTCGGTGTCCGAAGACTAGATTGTTCGGGACTAAGTAGTGAACGATCTTCTGCAGTCATTTGTGGAGACATAGGTCTGTGTCATGAATTAAAGAATATATATATTTCAATCAGTTTATATTATGTTATATAAAAATATTGTATGATATCAAATAAAAAAAATATATGTTTACTAGTACTTAATAACTATATTAAAGTCATTGTTTTGTATTGGATGCTATGCACCGGAATTAAAAGTTACCTTGTGAGATCTTGCATTTCCATGTTCTCCTGGTCACTTTGATCTTCCCATGACTTTCGCTGTTTTAATTTCTCAGCCCGTTTTCGCGAATAAGTTCCAGCTTTACCGTCAAGATTTAAATCTAATCTCTTCGATTTACTTACTGTCCATTCTTCTTTACTTGAAAACGTATTGTTACTTTTGCTAGAGATAGTTTCTGCGAGGATTTGTAATTCGGAGTACGACAATTTTGATAATTCAATTCCACCAGTCATTTCAGTGAGTTTTTCGTCTGACAAATCGTTTCTAGTGGATGTTATATTAATTTCTTTAACTGTGGGTTGTTTTTCTAAACTTTTTGTAGCTACATCTTCCTCCCCACTGGCGTTAGGAGGCGATGTTGCAAAAACTGTATCTAAAGAGTCACCTCTCTGTAATAAAGTGTAACTACTATAAAATGAAATATTTAAATATAACTCTTACTATAATATCGCATAGTATTTATAAAGGCATGATCTAGATAATTTCTGTTTGCTTTTAGAAGAGCCACCAGTCAGTGTTAAAAAAATATTAAATACAAGCAAAGTCGTACAACAATCTTAAAAGTGAAAAGGTTAACATTTTACCATGAATCCTTCTTCGGCCCCTGAAACTTCTTCACTTCCTGAACTGCCACTTTTAGAACATGATTGATTGAAATCGCTTGTATCCTTTATTTCACTCGCTAAGCTTGTTTGACCCGTTGGATATGTAAGACTCGTTTCATTCAGTCCTGATTTTTCTAACTCTTGAATACGTTTCTGCAGTTGGCTTATGATTTCATCGCGTTTTCGAATCTCATTTTCTAAGCTATTATACCTTAAAACAGTATTTTTAAATGTTAAAGTTATAACAATCGTTACTAATATTATAAAGGCGTAGGTTTGTATGTATGGATGGATGTTTGTTACTCTTTCACGCAAATACTACTGAATGGATTTTAATGAAACTTTAAAATAATATAGCTTTTAAATCAGAATAGGATATAATTTATATACATATTTTTTGTATATCTGTCTTTATGTCTGAATACTACTTCAGCCTATTTATGGTACGCAGACTTAGTCGCGGGTAGCTAGCTGCTAGTAGCGTTATAAACAACTTATTTCAATATCCTTTACCTTTCTTGAAATTTGCTTTGAACCTCATGTAAATGCCCTTGTATAACTTGTTTAATTCCTAAAAGCACTTCCCCAAAATACTCTTGATCTTCGATTGAACCTGTAGAAATATTACATGTTGTTTAACTGGGATAAAATGGTTGAGGGTCGATAGTTGCTAAAATTTCAAGAGTTGTAATTTTATACCTCGTAATAATTTCCTTTGATTAGTGACAGCAGAAATTAAAGTAAGTTTAGTTTTTTCTGGTGGTACTCTAATTTCTTCGGGTTTTAAAGATTTTATATCATATACTGGAGTAATGTCTTGCTGTAAGTTGTATTCAGTATCTACGTTGAGTTGAAAGTTTTGATTCGGAACATTAACATCATTCTCAGGTTCAACTAACTGATTTTGTGTTTCTGTTATGTCAGTTTTCAGATTAGGTGGTGGTGTTATACTTGGAATAGAAACATTTTTACCGTCCGGAACTTGAAAAACTTCGTCATCGATATCTAATGGCGCACTAGCAGGTGGTGATGGTAAAGTATGTCGATGAAATGTAACACTTTTTGCAAATTTTGAGTGTCGTGCCGCGTATCCTTCTATAGTTGGAGCTCTAATCAGCCTTTTTAGTTCTTTGCTTCTTTCGGGGCTTTGAATGGGAGAAACATCTTCAGATAATTTTTTTAATATAGACTTGAGCGTCCTTCTTTCCAATGTTTCATTCGATTCTTGACTACCAGATGAATCTGTGGATTTTCTTTTATACTTCCTCTTATCCATTGTACTTCCTTCGGAATGGCTTCTTGTTAGTGTATCACATAACAAATCTTCTGAAGAACTAGCGCAGTCTAGACTTGAACTTCTAATCTTAACGACTTTTTCAAGAGCAGCGAGTTTTTGCCTCTCGTTTAAAATTTTTAATTTCTTAACAAAAGGAAGTCCTCCATATTCCGGAGAAAGGTCATCTATCGATTTATATTTTTTCGCTTTAGGTAAAAGCATAGTTCCTGCAGTTACGGTCGTTCTAGAAATATCACTCGCCTTTGTAGTATTGCCTTGTTTTGGAGATGTTGATATTATATCTAAAGATTTTTCTTGGACGGATTCTAAGGGAGCTGTTAAGCAAATATTAGGTTTGTCTTGTTTAGTATTATCACATTCAACTTCAACATTATTATCTATTTTCACAAGCTCTGCTGTGGTAACGGTAGGCACGTTGACTGTTATATCTGGCTTATTAATTTGACCTGAGCTGTGACCATCTGTTTGATTTGAACTTTTACTTTTCATGTCAATTACTTCTATTTTATCTTCTAAGCTTGATTTGCTTTTTGGGTCTCCTAATATAGCAGCTTTTTTTAGTTTAGTCCAGGGCTTTTTGCTTTCTATCTTTGGTTCCTCTTTACTTTCAGTACATTGAACAGATGTTATTTCTACAGATGTCTTTTCAGTATTTGTTTTACATTTATCCATAGTATTTGTATCCGTTTCCTTTGTACTACTACTTTGAAGCAATTTCAACTTGTCTCGAAACGTAGAGCTTACAGCTTTAGCCGGTGATTTAATTTTACTAACAACGGAGTGTGGAATAGATATAAGATTACTTTCACTTTTAGGTGTGGGCTCTACAAGTGCTGCTGGTTTTTCAATAGTATCTTTAACTAGGGGCTGAGAGACAGCAGTACCATCACTCTGAACTTGCAGTATTTTGTCTTTAAAACTTACTTTAGGGCGAGAAGCACCGTCACTAGATCCAGAGGAGTTCTTTCGTGACATTTTTGTTGTAGGACTGTGTAATCTACCTGGGGAGCTGGATTCAGATCCTTTTCTGATCGGACTCAGAGCTTTTATAGTCGGGCTTAAGGGACTTTTAACTGAACTAGGACTGATGGTCTCGGAACTAGACGGCTGATTGCTGTTTGTTGGTGTTAATTGATTTTTCTCTTTTTCTTCTTTAGCTTTTAATAGAAGCAGTCGTTGTAATAGTGGCAGTCCTGCTCCAATTATTTCAGGTTCTCCGTCTTGGACAGAGCTAGTTGTAGGTGTTGGCTGTTGTGTAGTAATTGATCCAATCGAAGAAGTTGAGGTTCTCTGTTTAGTGCCTTTTTCCTCCCGGTCCTTATAAAATAATAATAAGCGAATAAGTGCTTTATACAATTTTTCATGTACTTAAAATTTACCACCAGCTCATATAACCGTTTTTCAAATGCACTTACTTGTTTTTCTTTCAGTAGTTTCAATCGTGACAATAATGGCAATCCAGCACCAATGGGTGATATACTTTTTTCACCGTCTTTAACACATGACGTAGTTTCCCCGTTATGATCCTGTTAATTTTAAAAAGGTTTAATTAAGATAAATCCGTAAATTTTATGGGTAAACATTTACACCTAAGATAACAATGGCGTGAAAACTCATCATACGATTTAACACACCGATTTAATGTCTAATATGATCAAGTCTTACTCCACTTGCTAACGTGTAGGTGCGGGTAATATAAAAGGTTGGGGTGTAGCATGCGCAGTTTATTGACAAACCTCCTGGTTATGGGCCTGCGAATCATCACTTTCTACTCGAGGCATCCTTCTTAGTACCTTGGCGTCGCCACCAGTTCGTTCCGAGCTGGATAGAGACTGAAGCTCCATCGATTCTCCCGATCTGCGTCCCGCTCGTGACCTACTCCTTATGGCGTTGCGAATCCCCTAATATGAACGAGTAGAGTAATTTCATTAGAATTTCTTTTAAAGTACATTCATAGATTTAAAAGTTATAATATGCTTTTTATATATTTCTTGTTCTTAAATAACCTTAAGGGTTGGGTATAATTCATTTACCTTAACATCGGTTCGCAGTTTATGAACTATGCGCTTTGAGGTACTGTCGTCACCTCCCATTTTATCTGGGCTTATTTCACCTATAACCAAATAAAAGTAAAAGAGATTTAAAAATTGTTCAAAAATAAAAAGGGAATACCTTTATATTTGTACTGGGTTTTTAAGCGAGTGGCTTAACCCATTATCATCCATAGAATAAGTAACTCGTTGATTCAGCAATGTATACGCTTCTACAACAAAATTCCAGTAAATGCGCAAAGCCTGCCTATCAACAGGTTTAAGAAATTTATTAAAGAAAAACTTTATAAAAAGGGTTATAATACTACAAATGAATACATTAATGACAATAACCCCTGGGAATGAGTTTATAGCTCCCAAGCCATTTCTAGAAGAAACATTTGTTGTATAATATTTTAATTTTGTTGAGAAAATTTTCTTATGTATAAACTTAATGATATGATGATCGATGAATAAATGATTTTGATTTTGATCACTCTAAGCTGACAATCTACATATACCAATATAAAATGTTTGGAAAAGAAAACAACATTAAAGGCTGAATCAATCATTTTACGCCTACCCTTAACTTTTTGCCGAGACATGTTTTTTGCTTCTTGCAAACGTTTCCTTCCAAGAGTTTGAAGAATTTCTTGGGCCTCTGGATAATCTTTCATGGCCGCCAAAACGTCTTCCCGTGATAAAGAAAACAGCTCAGAGTATCCCACAGATCGGACGTCGGCAGTTCTCCTACAATTTCGAATACATTGTGATTTAAGTATATATGTTTAAATTCTTCCCATTATCATTCATTTTAGCTTGTTTGACCCAATTGATGAGCATAGGCTTCCTGCACAGACTGCCATTCATCCTATAAATAATTTAATGATCGGGATTTGCAATTGAGATTATACATAGGTTACTATAATCTAAGGTTATTAATCATAAATGGTATGAGTACTACTCATGGGTGTTTCCCAGGGATCGATCCTGGAGTACATATAGTTATGCTTATTTTCATAGTATTATTTCATATGGTATTTTAATTTGGGGTTTCGCATTGGGTTTAAACACAATATTTATTACAAAAGCAAATGATATGCGCTGTCTTTTTATTGGTTTCACGTAATTTTGGACGGTATCTTCACGACCAAATACATCTGTCAACGCTCTTGTCGCTGTACATATCAGAGAACATCTTTTTTGTATGTAATAATATCCCCCTTTAAGAAAAACATATCACAAAGCTTCAGGGCTGTGGTAACACTCTGGAAGTAGTTTAGATTTGTGTGTAGTTGGATTATATAAATGAATTAAATTCCTCATTACGTAAATGAATTTCCAGGAACTTGTTTATAAATTAGTAGACTCGAGCTGGAAATCTCGGTGGTAGCACCAATGAAATTGTAAACTCCAGTTCTATTTGCTAATTTTCTATGATTGCAATTTGCTGATATGCTATGCGTTACATTAAATGAACACAATTTTTTGCTTTGAACAAATCGTTGTTATCCTTTTAAAAACTCACTTGTTCAGTCCGTCAAGATTTAAAATGCCAATTTCTCCGAAAAAGTCGCCAGCCTTCATAGTTGTAAGCACACGGCCGGTCTCGGATATCACTTCCAAAATACCATCTGCGATAATGAACATCTCTCGTGCCACTTCGCCTGTACATATTAAAGATTGAAAATTATATGTATATATAGATAAAGACTTGTAAGCTAAAAATCGACCATAGATGCAGATCCTGGGGATCCTTATCTAAGGATGACTGATTCAGTCAGTACATCGCTTAGAAATTGGGCTCTCTCTGACTTCAATTCCGACAGGAGTTCAGAGAAACCCGAGGAACGACATCTCCTGGACAGAAGAAGACTAATCTGATTCCAAAAAGGTCTGCTTATAGCCCTAAAATATTTTAGCTCATCGAGCAGCCTACGCTTCGGAAGAGAAAATGTGAACTGGATAGATGAAAAGTGGAGCTCTGTTTTCTTCTCAGATGAGGGCAGAGTGAGCGAGTCTACAGAAGATCTGGAAAGCGATTGACTCAGTGCTGTAAAAGTGAACATGTGGTATTTAGGGGACGTTGGATGGTGTTGTCAGGCGTTTCAATGGACGCAAAAATCGTCTTGATTTTCATCGCGAGACTAGCGGCAGATTTGGCGCTTTGACGGCAAACCGATATATGGAAGAGATTTTAGGCGATCATGTCCTTAGGCGTCATGTAGGCGATATCGGTGAAAACTTGGAGATAATGCAACCCACATACTATAGCTTTAACACTAAATATTTTATTGTTTAATTTATGACTGTTTTGTTTGTATTTTTTAGAGTGATTTTTTCCTTAGTTTAGATTTTTTTCATGAAAAATGTTTTATGTATGTGAATTTCATCTCATTTTTAATCCTTAGACTAAAATAAGCAACAGATTTTTTGCGAGAATATATTGACCGCAAGCGTACCAGTCAATACGAATTTATACTTTAATTTTGAGCGTACCTTTTCGGCATATTGAATCACCCGGTGTGAAGATGTAGGCTTTCATCTTCAAAACGAGATCATGTAAGAACTCTGGCTGACACTCTTGGAATATGGTTACCTGTAAAATACAATTTATTAGGTAGGTTAATGAATTCCAAATATAAATTCGTATGAACGGTTGCAGCTCATTAGAGCGAGTTTTGGAAAATTAGCTCGGGATGTGGAAGTATTGAAGTAATAAAAGAAAACATTAAAAGATAAGTACATACATGCAGTACAAACTTACTTACGAACGTATTAATTTTTATGTAAAAATAGCTGACCCGGCAAACGTTGTTTTGCCATATAAATTATTTGTAGGGTAGAAAAAAATTATTGGGTGGACCATCCTTAATATCTAGGGGAATGAAAAATACATGTTGTCCGATTTTCCACTCTAGCCGATATGCACACAAAATTTCACGAAAATCGGTCGAGCCGTTTCGGAGGAGTTCAATTACAAACACCGTGACGTGTCACGAATTTTATATATTAGATTTTGACGTTTCATAAGAACGCGCAAGCGTCTATATAAATAAAGATATTTTGAATTTGAATTTGAGTCAAGACATTATGTAGAAGCTTACCTTTTTCAGAACGCTTAAATTAACGTGTAACGCTAGTTCCGTTTTCAACTTATCGGGCAACAGTCCTAGGGCTGTGTTAATATCACCTCCACCTTGAATCCGACCACGAGACCAAGAGTAGTCGTACCACCGGAGTACGCGACGTTTCATACCGCCAGGGACCTAATATTAAGGGAAGTTTTAATGGGAACTTTTTTTTCTTTTATAATTTTTATACATAATTTCGTTCATAGTCAACAATTTCGACTACCTTTATTTAGTAATTACCTTATGATGTCTCATATAGGTTTTAGCCCCATCCAGCAATCTCTCAAATTCAAGCCTATTGGCATTTCGGTTCGTGATGACATTGCCGACTTGACCCACAATTGTTGCAAAAATAAATACTCCAATTAAGTAGCTTACGATAGTGAAAACGTACCTGGGAATAAAAGGAAAATTTTGAAGAAATGAAAATATATTAGGTTAAATAAGTTGTAATGCTTATGGATAATTTTTCGTTAAAAATTATATGGATTTTTCTTTGATAATAAAAAACAAATTTGTAATAAATGTTCTCTTGTGAAATAAGCATGCGAGTGCTCTTATAAGACGTTTGAAAACAAGCTAAATTTAAAAACATAAAAGTCTGTAAAATTCTAGATAATAGTCAAGTAAGATAAACTAAAATGACGAAAAATAATATTATTAATGATAGAACTGCAGGGAGAATTATAGTAGGAAATTAAAAATAAAATTCACTGGTAACATCAAACATACAGAACTACTAAATACCAAAAAACAAAAAGCATTTAAAATGTGAACGAAAAAGTGCAAAGTTTTCGAACAGTTGCAATACAAAACACTCCAGAATTAATGAACGAATAACAAGCGACTAGGATTACAAAATGGCGGTTTCAATCTGTGAAGGCTGTTCGAAAACTTTAAGGAACTCCCCGTCGACTCTCGGTGTCGATGAGCAATAAAGAAAAGAAACAAATAAAAAACAGTTTCATGACAATATAACTATTTTAGTCACATCAATTGTCGTTACCCGAAGTTTTCGCTGTAATGCGAACAGCCTCCAAATTTCTGCCGCCGCCATTTTAAGTTAATAACGTTCCACATCGGCTGTTTCCCTCCAAAGATCGCTCATAAACAATGACAATGTTTGTGTTACATGTGTGCATTAAGTGAGAACAAAAAACTATTCAGTAAACTCCTCTCAGATGGAAAGGAATCGATACTTACTCACGTGCGAAATATTTATATGTAATCATTACGCTATAAAAATTTGAAAGTTTAATGGATTACAATAAAAAAAATAACCATTATAATTTCAATTCACATATCTATGTCATAAAGAAAATTAAAAAGATTTTACTCACAACACAAACACTATCTCAATTTGTACAACAGCCGGTGTTTTTTAACTATGGTATTAAATAAATGTAAAGTGAAAATTCAAAACCTTAAAAACACGAAAACGGCTTACGATTGGTCATTGTCGAAAGGTTAAAGGTATACTTCACAACTTTAAATAATTGATTTTTCAACAGCAACAATCAGTTTATTGTTATTAAGTGTATTAGAATAATTAAAGGAAAATTGCATAAAATTAAACTCGAAGAATCTCTCATCAATCAATAAGGTAAGAAAAGGTTCCTTTAGGCTTAATTGATATTTAATTTAATAAATAAAGATCTGTATATAAATAAATGCAATAATAGTATAATATAGTTACATGATTTTACTTTTAAATGTTAGTTTAATTATATAATCTATATATGCAAAGACCTGTAAATTATGCACATTTTTTACTACTATACGCACACTGGAAGACACAAAGCTATTTGAGTCAAAATTAAAATGGAAAGTGTACCTACATCCATACAAGCTATTTAAAACGTATTCGAACCTAGAGTAGTTATTGTATTACCGATTGAAAGGAAGAAATTAAAAAAAAGAACCAAAATTTTCTTAATGTATTGATCAACTATATTATATTAGCTAGAAATAAAACATGTATATTCAATTGAGTTGATCTTACTTTACTACTACTCGATACTTTTAAAGTTTACGTTCATTTAATAGTTTTTGTCTATCACTTCAATACATTTATTTTTTCAACAATATATAAAGTTACAGGAACTATTTTGTATTAACTGACTTTTCTTGACAGTGGTAGGGCTACGTAACAGTCTTCTCTGTTGCACGAATAGACGGGGCCATTCGGGAAAGTACCACGACCTCACAAAAGTTCGTATAATGTGAAAGCTTCTTCGTTTTGTCTGGTGAGTAAGGTATCCGGGTCCCACTTTATTAAAAGATGACAACCCTACGGGTATTCCAAGTCTCAGGTGAACCACCAGCTCACTTTTCATCCACTAACATAAAAAATCTCTTCATAAATATGCAATTCTTACAGTCGATGTAAACATGTAAAATATGTAGTTACCTTTGTGTTTAATTTGGGACCATGTTGATTTAATCAGATGAAGTGGTTACAATCTATTTGTCTACAAGTTTATTATTCATCGCTGGCTATTACTGCTCGTTTGTAATCAAATAGGTACGTAATGGAGGTAATCGTTTAAGGAGTTATTAAATGGTATTTGTATCATATCCTGTGGCTCATTTAGTTTCAATGATTAACGTGAAAGAGAAAAAAAATCAACGATTAATTATTGTGATAAAATTAAAAGCAGGTTGAGACTCGTATCTCGACCTAGTAAATGACTGTTTCGTTGAGATAGAAATATCAAAAACACAAGTATTATATAAAATATTCAGCTCTATCTTTTTATTTCTGTTGAGAGTTTTTTTTTTGTTAATAATCTGCCTTTCATTCGGTCCGACAAATTTATAGATTGACTCAATTTGGAATATTTTTTTTGTTATTTCGTTAATCCTGGAATCCATTCCTCAGTTATAAAAACTTTTTATATGATTGACATACATTTTTGTTGGCTTAATATACTTAAATCCAGATTTGTTAATGACGTTATTATTGCTTGGTTGGATAGGATATGTAGGAAACACAGAAATTTTAAGTGGCCTTACAGTAAAATTATTTCGGAAAGTACTGCGGTTTGGTTATGATTAGAGACCAAATTTCTCCTCCTATCTTTTGAGGTCAAATGTATTAGAGAAATCTCACACAACTTTCTTAGGCGATAATCAGAGTCAACCAATTATAGCCAACGTGTGCGAGGTCTGCTGACAACACTGAACCAACCGGTCGATATAAGGAACTATAAATTTAATAGAGCGTTTGTAAGTGCTGCAAATCAGAAAACACGGTACACCTTTCTTATTCACGCATTTCCCCGCATTATCTTACATACATGCGTCTTAATAAATTGCCGCTTATAGTTTTAAGTAAAATGCGCTCGATTATAGTGACTGAGTAAAGATACTTTTCCTTCGTCAATATTGTTGCTGCTTTAAAGAATATGGTTCAACGCGTAAAATCTTGGTGAACAAGGACGTGACCAATCGTTCGCCGTTTCTGAACGTACCCTCGGTTGGATCTGAACTGCAGCAAGCGGGACTTGAGTCCGCGACGTGGCAGAAATTTGGGACCTCCGTGCACACTAGTACATACAACCTTTGTGTTAAAATATATCAAACACCTGACTGTGTTGATATCGTTTTGTAACATATGTTATTAGTACTCAACCGAATTAATTTAAAAACATTCCCAATGCATGTGTACATTATAAGCCACAAATATTTATTGTAGTACTAACTATTTCTTCCAATAAGACCTTAGTATCGATGATCATTACCGATAATCAAATAAATATTATTATGTTACTTGTGTTTAATACATATAATATGTTAGCTTTCTAATACATGATTACTTAATGAGAATGAACAGACAATATTACAAAGCTCCGTGCATTAGGTTAATTAATTAAACAGATTAATATATTTTTCTCCGTGATTAGGTGTAATTAATACAAAATATTCGAATGAAGGGAGAAGATTTTTAAGAAAAGGAACTTATATACAAAATATATGGTTAACTTCTAATAAACTTCTTAGAAACAATACTTATATATACTTATTACTTTTACAAATTAACTGTAATATCGTTGTAACGGTGAACAAAACCTTATAGATTTTATGCATAACAATTAATTTATTTACGTATTATTTTTTATTTAATGGATTTTTGTATTAAAACATGCATATAAATTTCAAAGTAATCGTGGTAGATGTAAGTTCCATAGTTTTAATTATTTGTGTTTTTTTTTTTTTCACGTCTCGATGAGATCAAAATATAAGAACTAATTATATACCTAATCTGAATTACTTAAACAGCCCTTGCCTCATAAGAAGCATGTTATCTTTGCCTGTTATCTGATATCATGCATGAGACTTCGTAGCGAAAGAAGGTAAGGTCTACTTTCTTAATATTCGCGGTATAAATACCAGAAGAACTCTTTGATATCATTATATTCATTTTTTTTCGGAAGGAATGTAATCGACATCTACTGGTAGCTTAATGAACCAGCGTTTGGAATCTAAATGACTTTCTTATACTGCGACTGGACTTTAAGCGTTTTAATTAATAAAATGGTTAAAAATTAACATTGTAATCGCCAATAATAAAACGCTGCGTCTTAATTTGATGTTAATTAGTTTTAATTTTACTTTAAAAGCAATTGAAAAGTTAAAAAAAAAAAACTGGAGAAATTATTTTCATTTGTTAGTAACATCAATATCACACATTTAAAATTAACTGTGAGTATGTTTTAAAAGTTTTGTAATGGTTAATTAGAAAATAAAAGACAATCAATCAATTTAAGCTATATTTAAAAAACTAAATGAAATGAACAAATATCGATACGTGTGTTTTACTTACTCTGCGTTTGTTTCAGGCGTGGGCAGATCTCCGATAGTTGTTAAGGTTAGAGTGGACCAGTAGAGTGACCCGAGGTACTTCCTGGTAAGCGTGGCGTAGTCTCCTGGCCGATGAGGATACGCCCAGTCGCCCTGCGGTACAGCCGATTAGTACGAAATAATTAGAATAAATTAGAACGAACGATGCGATACTTTTCTAGTTGCACTCACTCCATCCGGAGTTAGCACAACAATAGTTTTATCTAGACATTTCGAACTATTGTTTCTCGCCACCTCCGATTAGATCAGGATGATTCGTAGAGTTATCAGAACTGTGATCACTAACTATAACGATACTAAGCTTAATAGAACTCATTTTTTAATATGTTGGATTCACTAACGTTCCTCTGTATGCCACGAATAAAAAGATTGCTCATATGTTGTATGAAATGTCATGCCGAAACCAGTTTCTGTTGACAGATGGTACTAATGATGCGAAGTTAATCAAAGTTTTGTCACGTTCTCCCTATTCAAATTACTATCAGATGACAACGTGATAATTTGGTGGCGCAGATGCTTAGTTAATGGGTATGGCGTCGGGGGTGATGGGATCGATTCATGGAATAAAGTTACTATAAGTCCGTGATCTATACTTCTGTATACTTTTGGCTTTGTTCAATGCTACACAACTTACATGCAATAGCATGATTGACAACTTCAATTTTCAAATAACAATCGTTGTTTCGTCGGTCAATTTCTTAGTAACAACTTTGTACAATTAGAATAATGTATAACATTTACACTAAGGAAAATAAGTTATTGAGGATATCTTCATACTATTTCAGAGTAAGCAATATAAATCAACTTTTTCTTCAATAATCATTATAAATGTTTTATATGTATAAAGCATTAACAATTATTGTATTATATATTATTAGTATATATATATATTATTATATATTATTAGTAAAATCTATATAACTGCAGAATTATGGTGAATTTTTTTTTTCCAAAAACTAACCTTAGCAAATTAAAAGTTAAAATAAGTTTTCAACTTAAATGATTATTAGTTTTTGTTACTAAAATCATTCAACTTCTCACTTACTTTACGTGCCATAAATTAGTTATGATTACTCTTTATCTTTCAGAGTTGTTAAATTTAACAAAAAAAAGACGAATTCGATCAAGGTAAAAGCTTATTGAAAGTATCGTAAACTGTTGTGTTAAATAAATAGAGAAAAATGAAAACAATAAAAAAGTACCACTGACCTGAAAACCCTCTGCTTCTGAAAGCAAGAAATAAAAACAGCCGAACCAATGTGCGAGGATCAACAGAATATGTATCAAGTTGATCACCCGCCAAAAGTTTGGGTACACCGTCCTGGATTCCACCATGTAGTAACAGCTGACAGCTCGGTAGACCTTAAAAATGATTTTGATGATGAGCATATGATATTTTAATCAAGTTTCCCTAAGGAGACTTGTTTTCAACGCACCTAGTAAAATAAGTACATTATGTATTTTCAACTCCGCTCATATTTATAAATTATGTGTAAAACAAACACAGTATTTTACTTCGCTATTACAATTGTTCATTACTATTGCATCGTTTTAACTAACGACAAATAGTTGCTAAGTATGTGAAAGTGACCGTAAGAGGTTCCACTGCCCTAATTTGGTATGTGTTAGTCTAGTGCCTCTCAAAATGGCCTTCCGCGACCGCCCGACCTAATAAGGCGGAGAGAGGTGAGTTCAGAGAGTCTCTAGAAGTTTCGATAGATCTTATTTCATTAGAACATAGTTGTGACCATGAAAACGAAGGTAGTAAGCGAGTGATGTAGTTTTTAGCAAAATGGCAATAATAATATAGTTGACGGCACACAATTATGAGCGAAAAAATGGGCGCAGTCCCCTTGGACTTGCGATAGAAGTGAAAACTAAGATATTTAACAAAAAACAGTGTTAAAAAAGTTTGTTTATTTGTAAATAAAATAATTATTATGTCAAAATAATTGTTAATAATTATTTTAAAGTGAAAAATAATTAATATATGTAATAGTACTAATTAAAATAAATAAAAGTTCGGTGACGGTGACACGAGTTTCATGATTTTGTTCACCTAAAAAGTGCTCGACGCGCCCAAAGAAATTTTCACTTCAAATAAAAAACAATTGAAATTAATTAATAAAAAAAAAACTAATTTCTAAATTAGCTTAAGAAATGTAAATGTCAAATACATGTAGTTATTCCTGTGACCTCGCCAGATTGATTGTAATCTTTTTTGCCATGGATAACAGATTAAATAATTAGAAATAACTAAAATTAAAATAACAGAAAAATAACAGATTAAAAGAAAGATGTCAAAGAATTATATCTGCCGTTAATATGGCTACAAATAATAAGTTGCTATATATTTACAATTAACATGTTCCTTTAACCAACAACCGTCTTCAAATGTACGTTAATACAGTGAATATTTAATCTTTCGTCTGTCGACTGGATGCAAGTCGATTGGATGGTGAATGTAAAGAAAAAGAATATGCCCGTGATATTAAAGCCGTGCGTATCATCTTACCTTTAAGAAGCGAGGAAAGCGTATAATAGGGTTCGTTCCAATTTTCAATTGAAGAAGATCCAACGGAGTTAATGCGGCAATATCCAGCAAAAAAGGTCTTGATGTAAGATAATGTTTCGCTAGTTTTTTTGAGTCGTATACCTAGAAATAGGGTTATTGTTACCTTTTTTATTGTTCTATAGCACATTTTTAATCATTTCCTGTATTCTGTAAATCACTATTATTGCTTTATATTGATACAAAATTTAAATAAACAATTATTCAATTTTCAAATGAATAATGTATAGTTAACATTTTTTTTAATGTGAGAAAATGACAAATGTGCTGACGGTTCACCTTATAATAATGTATAGTTAAAATTTATTTATTTTTTATGTGAAAAAGTGGCAAACGAGCTGACAGTTCACCTGATGTTAAGTGATAACAGCCGCCCATGAACAGCTGCAACACCCGTAGGGTTACAAATGCGTTTCCACCTTTTAATAAAGTGGGCCCCGGCTACCTCACTGACCAGACGAAACGCAGAACTGTAACACTTCTACTTTACACCGGTCTTCTGTGCGGTCGTGGAGCTTACCCGGACGGACCTGCCCATTCGTGCAACAGTGAACACTGTTGCGTGGCCCTACTACTAGCACCTTCTATAATTATCAGTAATGTTAAATTTGCTAAGCGAGCAGGGGGTTCATGTATTTTTTTTTCTAAGCTATTGCATAGCTTTTATTGCGGGTTTTGAGCGCGGCGACCGAAGCAAGAAATTGCGTAACGAAAATAAAACCTTACACCTACCATGGTCGACTGTACGAAGCTCGCACGGATGGATATTATAATTTTATATTATCATATGATGATATAATTTTTAGAGGATATCAAGTCTCAACCTTATGTTTCTTATTTCAATTACCATAAACCTAAAGTTTCAATGATAAAAATTCCTGAATAACCTACATGTATTGTAAGATTATAAAAATATTTTAAACGATATTAACTTCTCATTTCAAAATCAAAATCAAAATCAAATGTATTTATTCAACATAGGAGCATTACACTCACTTATTGATAGTCAAAACACTACCACCGGTTCGGAAAAGAAATTTGTTCAATAAAAGAAAAAAAATTGTTTTCTTATCGGTCACCACGCTCAAAAAGTGTAACTTGAATTAACATCAAAGAAAAAGAAATACTGCATAAATAAAAAATAAATAAATAATTATAATTGCTGCCCTATAACTTTACTGCGGCAGTCCCCGAGTGATTTTTTTTGAAAAACATTGCCCTTTCATAGGATAACATTATCCTATGTTGTAAGGACGTATTACAAACATGATTTTCACGTGAAAAAATACCCAGATGCGAAATAACTATCTGTGGGTCACACAAATATTTATTCCGTGTGGGGATCGAACCCACGATCCCCGACGCCGAAGCCAATACCTTGGTAATTGCGCCACGGAGTCATCGAGTAATCATCGATTTAAGTAATTACCATCACCCGTGGAGATCTACAAAACCAAAAGTTGTTGCAGATCAATTCAACCTTTCCACAAACTTCGAAACGCGAATGTTTTGTGATACACTTTACGTCTGTCTTTTGTGTGTGAAAAGTTTCACGATGGTAGGGCCACGCAGCAGCCTCGGCTGTTGCACGAATGGGCAGGCTCGTCCGGTTAAGTACCACGACCTCACAGAAGTCCGGCGTAAATAGGAAGTATAACACTTTCGCGTTTCTTCTGTTGAGTGAGATGGTCAGAGCCCAATTTTCATAAGGTTGTCAACCCATCTGGAGCCCTCAGGTGTAGCAGCCGTCCATGGGCGGCGGTATTCACTTAACATCAGGTGAACCGTCTGCTCGCTTGGCAACTTTTCACATAAGAAAAAGAAGACATATGAAATAACTGGAATACCATGAGTCCTTGTTCCAAATATCCCGTCCGGAGTTGCACGATGAGGTCCAATGCGAAGACCACGTCTCCAATGCCGTCGCAGATAACCCAGAAATAGTGACACATTGTCTGTTAGGAAAGTAGGTCGTTCAAATTATGCAGAAGTAAAATGCTGGCATCCACGAGTGTGTTAAAGTAGCAATATCTATGCAATAATAAAAAAAAATGTAATTTCTTTCTCTATTATATATAAAACAACGTCAGCGACTAGAGACATCGACTAAAGAACAAAGATGTTACAGAGAGAGATTTTTAAAATTTAATGCACTGTAGATTATATTTTATCAAACACTAAAATTAATGTATAATTGTTAATTTATTTCATTATTTTATAGGCATCACAAGACTACAAAAATAATTTCCACTGTGGTAAATTAACAGGAGATTTAATTAAAACATTTCCATTTCGCGTTAGAGCTATTCGTAAGGAATCTTAGTCTTATATTAGCATGGGAACAATTGGAAAGCCGAAATTGTCTATTAAGAAAGCCCGCAAGATCCATTAAATCGATAGGAACATTGGTTGAGCACCAATTTATGAGAATCCACAAGTCTTGGTTAATGCTTAGCTATAGGTTTAGTTAGTTCTGAGTGACTCAATTACATTGTTTCGTTAATAATTTTGTTGAATGGACAACAAAATTTTTGTATCCAGAAGTGAATTAGACTTCTGTCTTTTATTACGATTATTTTATTGAAAAATATTTTGCTTTTCATGTTTGGGAGATTACGTTGTTTGCTTATCCGATCGCTAATGGAAATGAAAAGCGACTTGACATAGAAATAGCCGGTATGGAAAAAGGAGTCCTTTTTTGTTTAAGAAAATAGTTTCTAAGATTTTCTTTACTTATCTTCAATAGATTGCTGCAAAAAGTTTATTTTATCTGGACGGATGTTTTTTTATACATTTAAAAATAAATAAATCAAAACTAATAAAAAAAGCATGTACGATTCATTTAAAAAAACATTATTAACATTTTTTTGAATAATAGAAAAGTTCCATGAAAGTACATAACAATAATAACTTTTTCGTTAGTTATTTTACAGAATTGATTGAGCGCGTACCTGCAGTTCAGGGAAACTTTGCCGAACTATAAGAGTCCAAAGGTTATACAGCACGCAGACTGTGATAAGCCAAAGCCAATAGAAATAGAAATTCTCGTCTGGATTAACAACTGTTGGGGGCACCCTGACTTTGCGTCGTCTTTGTCTATTTGTTGTTCGGTGTTCGCCGGTTGCACCTTCGGAGCCCGTGTCTTCTACCTGCGGAAAATTTCTTATATAGCACAAACTAATATTAATACAGATGTCTGGAATGTAATATTTAGCGGTGGCTCATAAATTTGCTTCTGTTAATTTTTACAGAGTTAGCTCAAGGATTATGGAAAATATTCAGTTAACAAATTATTTAAATCTCTCGCAAAATAATTGAAATCTGGGGGTTTTGGTGTGTTAGATGCAACTATACAGGCTAGAGATCTTTGGTATTTAATACAAAATTAAAAAAGCTGCAGCTAATATGTACCGGTAATGCAATTATTTGTTATAATATTAAGATTGCTTTGTCGTCTGGCAGATTATGATTTATTGTTTCTTTTCAAACAAGGTATTAAGGCGCTATATATATATGAAAGCTTTAAATATCTTATCAGAAAATCAATTCGTGATGATGATCACCAGAAACCTTGAGTGTTTCTCATGGATGATTTCCAAAATTAAGAGAAACTCGAAAAGAGAAATAAACTTACAGTCTCCTGAGTTTCGGGTATTTGACGTGTAGAAAATCTCTTGAGGAAGGAGTCTTCTCTTTTTAGCGTTGGTTTCTTGTGTATAGCGGAACTTAACTGCACTGTGGTCCGCAGTTTCATCCATCTCTGATTAGACTTTGTTCTGCATCGTCATTAATAAAATTAGTGCCAATAATTTAGCTTTGCTACATTCAGAACACTTTATGGAAAGACCTTAAGCAAAACTGCATGCGTCCAGAAAGTATTATTTGTTCCACAATATGAAAATATGCTGATTGATTGCGCTTTTAAATATATACAATAATAAAAGCACATGAAGGTATTTTTTTAGGTATTTTAAAATTTATTTCCACCAAACGTCAAAAAGGATTTTATTTTTGATATCGCCACAGAACAGGTGATTTACACAGTATGAGGGCCAGACAGATCAGATGGTGGGATTTTTAAATATAAACTTTGTTTATTTTATTTTTTAATTATCTTTATATTGTACTCTTCCAATATTTTATGCGATTTTTACTTCATTTATGCGTGCAAACAAATAAATCTACAATTTCGTCATGCGACATCGCATTATTCATACAATAGAGGATAAACAAACCAAACTCCAATTATAAATACATGAAAAGTATATTTCTGTAGAGTAAGATTAGTGAGCCTTCTAAAAATCACGTAGCTAAAAACTAAATTTACACTAAACTGAATCTAAAGAATTGAGGAAAATAACACTAAGTTTCGTAAAACTATGGAAAAACGGCCAGATGCAATTAAAGAATTAAAAAACATTGATTGAGACTTAATAAGAGATTATTTTGTCCAAGTGAAGAAGGAAAGTATAGTCAATTGAAGATTACTAGTACAGACAAAATATTCACAAGAATAACACACAAAATCCAGACAAGTTACCATTCTCGAAGTCCTATACACAGACGAAGGTACGAGTAGCACATTAGTGGGAAACCATAAACATACAATGATATATAAAGTGTCACACATTCGACAGCGATGCGGCATTACCATCGTCCCATATTGACCGAACCTTTTTATTTTCCTGAGTGCCTGGTAGTATGCCATAACAGCTTGGACGTGTCTCCATTTATGGCCTCGTTTGTCTGATTCAGATCCTTGTCTCTCAGTGTCCTGGATGGACTTGCGAGAGCTTGACGAGCTCGATGCAATGATCGGTCGCCTATAAAGGGATGTAGGGTGTTATTCGTAACAAGCACTGTGCAGTGTATTTATAAGTTACGTGGGGATTTTGTGAGTTTTAGTGTTGCAGTTAGTTCATTGCACTTACAATATTTGGTGATTCAACTAAAGTAAAATAAAATTATGAAGAAAGTGAACAACATAAATTAACCCAATTCATAAATTCAGATCCATTTTAGTTAGACAAAAAAAAACGACTAAGAACAGATTTTATTCATCAGAATTATATTGAGTAATTAATAATGAATATAAAATAATCAAAAAGAATATTTTTTTACAGTACGACTCATTATAATTGAACCATTAAAATTCATGATTTAAGTACTAAAAAGAGACAACCAACTAAAACTCACAGATAATGAAGTGTTGTTGGACTGGACCCTATTATATACAAAAATGAAAACATGCATTTTATAATGCGGCCACATAATTCACTAAAGTCGGTACTGGACAGTACAAACGTGTGTTAATTTTAGCATCATAGTGTCGTCTATGCGTCCAGCTGTGCAGGGTAATATGGGGATAATAACGTTTCTGTAAGCGCAACAACTTTCGTGAAGGCTATTGAAAATTCCAATGCCTTATTTCATTATTGGTACGGTTAGTATGCAACAAATCATTTATTATTCTTAATCTTTATTTGTCTCACTGATGTGCCAACCGTACCAATGTGCGACTTATGCATACAAAGAACTGCTTTCAGGATCGTGCTTATTGCCAGGGTCGCTGCTCTAGATGTTTTGAAAGCGAAAAATGCCAATGGTTAGCGACTTACATATCATCTGGCCGAGCGTTAGTTGTGGATGATGACAACTTGCTCATCAACCTAAATGGATTTGGAAAACGTTGGCTTAGTCATGTTTGGACACAGGGTTTTAATAATGGTCTAGTGAGTGCTTGATTAGTATCCCACCTGATGATTTGGCAAATGATAGGTAAGACCTAATATTAATTTTTGCCTTGTAAGTAATAAGTAGTAAAATTGATTAAGTCAGTCATACCCACAATTTCGACTGCAGGTAGACTACGCAAATGGTATCTTGAGTTACCAGTAAGGCATGCAAGACAGATACAATACTGCCTCTTGCTTTCGGTTCATTTATTATAATTAAAGATATATTAATTAGGAATTAATTATACTCATAGTATTTATGTCGCACTAATCCAAAAAACCTAACGGGTCACATACACCTTACAAAATTAGAAAAAGTTTAAACTATTCTGTTAAATTGCGTTTCTTTCAGCAAATTGGCATTTAATTAAATGTTTAATGTTTTTTTTAGTGATTTACGTAATTTTGCAGTTTCATTTTGTCCATTTAAATTGTTGTATATTAAATGAATATCTAATTTATTTTGCGAGTTTCAATATAGGTTTTCAATTAATTAAGATATAGTAAAATATTTCATGCGTAAGTTAAAAAAATTGAGTGACAAAATGTGTAAGTGAGTATGTAAATTGTAAAGCTATGGTGTATTCATAAAGTGTCATTGTTAAAATTCATTATTTACTTTCTATTCCATAACGACTTGATATAGAATATAAGGATTTTTTTCTTATACAGCGTGTCGGTACCACCGTGACAATAAATGAACACACGTCTAACGCTACTTGCGAATAATCATAATAAAATATTAACGTTAAAAAAAACATAATTAAAAAAAAAACAAACTAATTAAGTAAAAAGGAAACAAAATTTGTAACATCCAATACAACTACAACTGACTGATTCATACATTCAGAGACTATTTCATTCGTTGTCACAGCGTCGCATTACAAGCCTCTCCTTCTAACAGTATGTTTTGTCTCTTTTAAATTCTTTCAACCCATTCATATGCTTTGTGACCTTTACGTTACCGTTTTATACGTAAGGTTGTTCTGAAATTGTTTGTTTTGGAAAATTTAATAACTCGGTAAATATTGATGTTTGAAGAATGTAAATGTTTAATACAATTTTAAAAAGTTATCCTCTATATGTTTGTTCATTTATTGTTGCGGTGGTCCCTACACGCTGTACATAAAATTTTATTCTTAAATTAATATCTTATCTTGTCTTAGAAACGTAATAGATAAAATAACAGTAGTAAACTTAACACATAAAATAATAATAATTTTATTAATCGAAATTTGCACCCCGATTAGCTTAGAACTATTAATTTTGCTATCATCTTTTGTTTTATACACCTATTATCTCTGTCATAAAACAGAACGTTCAGAAAGATCACACTTAGCTAGGATTTATTAAGTTTAAGTGATTTACACTGATTCACCTCTGTTTTCCTAATTAGTTTATATTTCTTAACAACTTTTCTAGTTTTATTTCTTCTAGAATGACTAACTTAGTTTTTACTCTCACTTGTACATACATTTTTAAATTAATTTCACCATAACGGAGCAAATTTAAACAAAAATCATTATTTTAAAAACAATGATTCTGAACCAAACTTCATCTTTTATTTCGCCCTTTGCAATCCTTCAAGGTAATTGTAATAAAGAATAAATAAAGAAATTCATTCATTTGTACTTAAATCATCGGTAAACAAAAACTGAAAAAGATAAGTTAAAAGCATTTTTAATCTAGACCATCAGCTTTTAACTAGTGCTTAATTGGTGTTTGTACCTAACATTTATAATCCGTTGGACCTGAGTGTGTTCTATGAGCAATTCGTGGGTTGTGCACGTGTTTACGCTTTGATTTGAGTGCAATACTTTTGTGTCATACACACCTTCACCGTTAAAGTATTGATTTCTTTGAATTATAAATCCTCCACCTGAAACACCCTGTTTAATCAATGTCAATAAACAAGCTGGTTTAATCGCAGAAAAGAAAATACACGAGGTAATATATTTCTTTTTATGATGAACGTTTCGCTGCCTATCTTATTTAGGATCTGTGATGGCGATGATGATAAATTGTAACCATACATTTTGCATATTTGTGTAAAATACAAAAGTAGTCAAATGAAAGTTTGAGAAATCTTATTTAATGATCTTATTTCAATTGTATGATACACAAATGAAAAACTTTTATAATTTGCAGATCGTAACGTTGAAATAATTTAAATAAAAAAAGTATTAAAAGAAGGTGAAGTAACATGAAATTTTAATTTTGAAAATATATTTAGACGTGTTACTGGATATGTTATGGATTCAATGCCACGGATTGCCCTACAAACCAAGAATAAAGCGATCGATACACTTAGAAGACCAAAGGCGCGCTCTTCGAAAATTATCTATTTTAGTTTATTCAGCCAATGCCACTTAAAATGAGGTTTTCGTATTTTTACTATCGGGAATATCCATTTGGATAGTGTTACCAAATTTATCTTCTATCAACATGTAATTTATTTTTTATTTTTATGAAACTTAAAATACTGCTTTAACTAACTAACAAATAACTTAGTTCCATTTATTGTCATCATAAATGACAATAACACGGTCACACATATTCATTGTAAGGCAAAAATTTTGGGTATTGTAAATTTCCCCGAAAACTGGGAAATTTGAGGAACTATCTAGCTATAAAACAATAATTTATTAGAATATGACATCGTTACTGGTGTATTACAGCTGTAATTGATCCTAACATTTCTATCATAGTAGACAGTATATAATTAGTAGTAGTAGTATGCCAAAAAAATGTAAATAGTATTTTATATTGTTGGGACACAAATAAAATATGAAATAAGAAAGAATGACAAAGATATATCACGGTGAGAAAGCCTCTACCTACCCCTTTGGGTGACAGGCATAAGTGTTTACATGTAAAATACATTAACATGTATACTATTTCTCTGTAGGAAGATAAATCACAACATCTGTAACACATGTATGAGTAAAGGTGTCTACGTGTTTCTTTTGTGCTACGTCGACTTGAACGGATATGTAAGAAATCTTATGAGTGTAATTACTACACGTGCCAATGTCACTCAGAATTGTTGCATGAAGTTATGAGCATATTCAATGTCTTAAAAATGCATCCTGTATTGGGTTTTTCTATATATGTGATATAGAGACGCGAGTTTATAAATTAAGACAATATATCCAGAATCCCAATGCTAATAAAAGCTGAAAATTGGAACAGTGAAATTGAAAACAGTGTCAAATAGTTTTATTTCCCTTTTTATATCACACCTACATAATAGTTACTCTATTTCAAAAAAAATTCAATGGAGTGAACAGTAAAGGCTATTTGACCAAAAATTTTGTTTAATTTTTTTATTGGAACAAAAACATGAAATATTATTATCAATTATTATATTAAATTATCTAAGAGGATTATTTGTTAATGAATAGTAGTAGTAGATAATATTTACTAATTTAATTAGAATGAAAATATTATTTAAACTAACAATAAATTGTGCGTTATATTATACTTGCATAATATTGCCAAACTTGTTGAAATATTACTGGAACATTTGATAGCTTCGATTTTTCGTTCGACTTTTGAGGTGTATTTACAAATGTTATAGATAGTCTTCCATTTACTGCTTCTTTAAATTGGTAAAAATTTAGACTCTAATTAGCAGTACTTTTTGCACTTAATTATTTGATCAATGATACAATTGATATATTTCTATGCTTGCCTTTGTCCCGGGCTTTTGGTCTCACTGCTGACGTCTTTGCTGGAGTCATCATCCTCTTCATGGGAGGTGGCTGCTGAGAGAGCTCTCGAGGATCCAGGTTGCGCTTCGCTGATCTCGTTATCCTCGCCTTCCGATGTCCTAGTTGTCCCTTCTTCGGCCTGTGGAAGACATGCATGCGTGTAAGGTATATGTTTTTAGCGTTGTCTGAAATTTACCGGATTTTAAAATTTCTTGTTCCCGTGGTATGAATTAAGGTTGAATGCCGCGCGAAAGATTCGGGACCATTGAAAATTTATAGAGAGGTAAAACCACAGTTAATCTAGACTGTTCCCATCATTTGATATATGGCCAATTTAAATAATAACAAAATAAGTATGCAAGTTAAATCAGTTTACGTCTTCATAATATTTGGTTAATTTAATGCATTAACTTGTAAAGTTCAAGGATTTACAATAATTGTTTTTTTTTTTTACATTTACATTACATTTGACTTAACTTATTAGAGTTAGGTCAATTATTGTAAATCCTCGCCATTAGGCAATGGTAATAAAATTTGTAAAATACCGACTATTGTAAAATACCGACTAATAATATTATTTATCTTCTTTCACGTTTTATTTTGCTGTCTGAAACCTAAAATGAAGTTTGAGCAAACCATTTAAAAAAAACATGCAGGATTAAAACTGGCTCTAACAGGATACTGGTTATTCATGCTTGGTGATATTTTTTAGTACAAATCATAACAAACCGTATTATAATGAACTTATTAAAATTTTCGTGAGACATTATCAACTAAAACTGTTATAAACTTACCTGTATCACTATTAACGGAATTCTTTCTTCAAAATTGCCATAAGTGTCATTTTTCATATTCTCTTGTTTGTTTTTCCTCGATTTATAGAGTCAATGTGTATAATTACATATTCTTCAAGCTATTTTGAATAGTTAAGTGTCATATTGCGAAAGCACTATAAAATAAACTGAATATATTTTTACAGACGATACGCATAACTGCATTTTTCATTCAATGAAAACAAACTCAATTAATGATGATGAACTCATGACTCAGTAATTCCAGATCATATTCGAAAACAAGGACTTTATTTATGCAAAAAGAGACAAACGAATATGCAGGTCACTTGATTTAAAGTGACACTTGCAGAGCCAGAGTCGCAAATGTTTGTCTTAGACGTTTAAATAGGATCTTTTCTAATGGTTTCTCGTCTAACGGCCCGGAAATATCGCTGGCGAGAACAGAAGGTAGTTGAGAGTGGCAAAACTGTATTGATGGTATTTTGCACTTTGTTGCGTTATGTAGAAAACAATTCTTCAGAACAGCGATAAGAACAGTATTTTATGTGTAACAGAATCTTCGCTTTATAGAGGGGATTCTAAAAATTAGTTGCAGGTATTAGTTACTAACGACGCGACCTTTTTAGAAGCCATCTTGACGTTCACTATACAGTGATCTCAATATTGTAAATTCCTTGATATTTCAACGCCCACAGGTCCGATCAAGATAACAAGAAAGTGTCCCACAAAATAGGAGATAGGATTGAAATATTTTTTCGCTAAACTCGTGTCTTCTTAGAGATTATATATGACTTAATGTAGTTGATAGGGCATCAGATTTTACTTAAAAAAATTACTTAATATAACTTTATTACTTCACTCATCCGCGTTTACCGGAAATATCGTAGCTTGTACTGTCATATGTTATATTTTTTTTTAACTTTTCAGTTTTTGTTAGCCCCTAGACTGACCTATTCAAGCAGCAACAGTATCTACAAGGGAATTTCTATAATTCTGCTTTGTATGTTTGTATTATTTTAGTTAGATCAGTTTCTGCCCGAGCAAAGATTTTACAAATGGAAGTCTAAATATATGCTAAATAATAAAATGTCTATGTAATGAGGAAATTTAGAGAGATGTAAATTATAAAGATGTAAATAAATTTGAAATAAAATTATTTTACCTCCCTAGGTATAAGAGAAGGTAATTTATATGGTAATTTCCGTGTTTCATAACATAATTTGCCTCATACTATAACACGCCACACTTTGTAATGTGGTTAGATTTTATATCTTACCCCATGGTATTTAAAAATAATCAGCATATTAAAAAAAAAACATTTTTTTATATTCTAATATCTAATGTTCGGACATATTTTGATCAGTCAAGTATTAGGGTCATATAAAACCAGCCAAGTGCGAGTCGGACTCGCGCACGAAGGCTTTCATACCATTATCTATAAAAACGGCAAAAACTCATGTCTGTTGTATGGGAGACCCACCATATAATTTTTTTCTGTTTTTAGTATTTGTTGTTGTAGCGGCAACAGAAATACATCTGTGAAAATTTGAACTGTCGTAGGTACTATCACGGTTAATGAGATAAGCCTGGTGACAGATAGACAGACAGACAGACATCAGAGTCTTAGTAATTTTAGGTCCCGTTTTATTTAATTTTATTTATTTTTATTTGTAATATTAAAAATCAAATATATTTACTGCATCACATAAAATTATATTAATAATCATACCCTGTGTATAACAATACTAGAAGCCTTTTCAAACCTTATGTTGAAGGCGGTAGCAAGTTATTTAGGCCTCGAACTCATTTCGTTCCCAAAACATGGCGGGTAATAGCACCTCATCGGGCACTAATAAAAGGCGTACCTGGGACCTGACACAAGTCTTTAGAGGAAGACCTTAGGTTCCCAATTAGATTATTAATATTTGCGATGAAAACATTAAGCGCTTTACAGAATTAAGTTTTATATATATGAAACTAGCGACCCACCCCGGCTTCGCGCGGGTGCAATGTATTATACATATAAACCTTCCTTTTGAATCACTCTATCTAGTAAAATAAAACCGCATCAAGATCCGTTGTGTAGTTTTAGAGAACTAAGCATACAAAGGGACAGACAGACAGCGGGAAGACTTTGTATTATACTATGTAGTGATATATAATTTGTTACACATTTAAAAAATTGTATATCATTTTCGAATAAATGCTTAATTTTGGACGATATTTCGTCCCCAACGTCACCGACCCGAATGGCGTAGGTAGTGTACCTGCCTTCTGCGTCAGGCGGTGCGGGTTCGATCCCCACTACTGGAAAAATATTGTGCGATGAACATAGTTTTTTTTCTAGTGTCAGGGTGATTATATATTGTATAATATGTATTTATTTACAAAAGGAAAAATATGTTTAACAGTTATCTAGTACCCATATTACAAGCGTTGCTTAGTAATTTTAAGTGCTCATTAACTACGTATTCTGCGATGATGGACAGAGAGATTGGATCCTGCTCGCAGACCAAAGGACCTTTCCCCGCTATATATAATACATAATTCGGAACATTTACACGACACTTCCTTTGCACAAATAATCGGATGTTGGAAGTGTGGTCACCCCGGTCGAACTTTTGAAGTCGATTTTTGGAACACATCAAAGTCCTACTGATCCTTTCGAATATTCATTGGACACTAAAGTAATAACATATCAATGTTCACAAAGCGTTATATTGTATTTTTTCCAAGACATTGACTATCAAAAATAGATTAATAAAATTCCCTTTGGAATCTTGTTGGATGTTGTAATATATGTCTTGGTGGGTTATATCTAAAAACTAAATAAATTTAAATTTTTCGTCCTTTTCTTAAATGATTCGTAATAAATGATTTACACGTATTCAAAATGCTACTTTTTAAATGATGAAAGGTACACAGCAGAAAAATAATGCTAAGGAAAAATAACTCACTAAAGGAAAAAAAACTAAGTTGCTTTGTGTACTACGTTTTCCTTGTTATTGTTCCTTTATTTGACCAAGCTCAACGTTACGCTCAACATGTTTCCTAACAATTTGTAACTAGGCTACACTTAATTATTACTTTTTTTTTCTGAGAATAATTTTTATAGCATAAATGTTGGCGCTGGCAACACTGTATACCGGATATGACGTTATCTACTTGAGTGAAGGGACACATGGTCGCATAGAGCAGCGGTTACTTGGATTTCGGCCGCGTTCCCAGACGGTTATATAACCACTAGTGCTGCTTGTTGTTATAATAGTTGTTAATATTCACGTTCAGTAATAGTTAAAGTATTAGGATCAAGGTAAAATAGTTATAACTCTTATATAAATATGACATAATAAATTGCAATGTAATCTTATGAAGATTACACTTTTTTTTGCAGGAGGATTACTTGATAGTACTATGTTATATATAACTGGAAATGGATATTTAAAACAGTGGAGCCGCTGTAAGAGCGTGGGGGAACGTATAATATTTGACTTTTTATAAAGTTTGGGTGGTTTTCTACAACTTTGTTATATTAAAATTATGAGGGTTAAATTTTTACGATGCTTCCGCACACGGACCCCAAAAAGCTAAAGCCTAAAAATTCTTCACGGTATTACTATGGCAACGAATAACAACTTTTTGTTATATACATAAAATTCCAAGTTATAACAGTTAGCAATTGCATTTAATGTATTTTTCACAAACAAAGAGCACTGGCATAGGAGATATTTCACATATTTAGTTATTTACTTCTTACGTACATAAGTACACAAACACTTTTTTATCAATTATTTGAATGATCGTGCTTGTTGAATCAATTTCCAAACAAGAAAAAGAGTTTTTCTATGTCGTTATCTTTTATTTACACGGACTACTTTTTAGGATAGCAGGTATAAGAATAGTACAATAAGTTAAGGAGAGAGAAGAATGTTTCTTAACGTCTTTCTATTGATACGATACCCGTAAGCTGGTGTGAATGAAGCTTAAGATTTCCTCTAAAGCTACCATTTTCCGGTCTATGAGCCTATATTGGACAATGCAATATTAGATAAGGAGTCTACTACAACACGTTGTCTATTACGCGTGACTGACGCTACCCGGTCAATACAATGATTTAAGTCTGTTTTATTGAGGTGTATAATGGACATTTCTTTACACATATTTCATGTATGCTATAAACAATTCAAGATCGACTCTATCCGCGATTGATTGAAATGCAAATCTATATGGATAAGAAGAAAATTTTCTCGAGATTTTTACCATTTGCTATCGTATTGAAAAGCTTTATAGAACGCTTAAGAAACACTCGTCGTAATAAGCAATACATTTAGGATTCAGTGAAAGCTGTACGATGTTATTGATGTCTTTTTGCACCGAAACGTGACGAATAGGGCGTCATCAGACCGGCACAATTACGAGGTAGATCACTTACCAAATCTCTACCAAAGCTCTCTTTGGAAACTTCACCTTTTTACATGTAAAAATAAAATTGGCACCCCTAATAGGGTATTAAGTTCAGAAACGGGGAAAATATGAGCAAATGTTAAAAGTTAAAATTGTTGGTAATGTTTTATTCGTAAAGAAGATAACGAGCTGGTACCTGTTTGTAATTCCCTGTCCTTTTGACATCTTACGTTACAAAAGTACAACGTAATAAGTACTTTTACAAAACAACATAAAATCAATTTCATAATTTTTACACCTCTATTTATTACAGAGTTGTGTATTAGCTTCTATGACTTAATTGTTTATGTTATTTTTTGCTCATAAAGTTTAAGTATATTAGCACTTTCTCTTAAGCGCGTTTTTCTGTGATCCAACATGCTGAAAAACTTGAGCCCTAAATTCTTGCGCAGACCCAAAATATCAGGTTTTAAATGTGAAATGATTTTCAACTAACGAATGGAAATGGGCGGCTCTATCATTTCTTTATTTTATGTGAGAAGGTGGCAAACGAGCTGGCGGTTCACCTGATGTTAAGTGATGACCGCCGCATATTGACATTTGCAAAACCCATCGCCTATTGACATGTGCAACACCCGTAGGCCTGCAGATGC